GATGTACGCGTTGTGTGTCACGCGCCAATCCTTGTTCTTGTACCTCTTCCTGCAGTCATGCCTGCAACAAAACGATTGTTAGTTGTACCATACACACATCTGAATTATAGTTTTGTTATTAATCGATAACGCACTCGTGTAATTCTTGGTTGGTGGAGTAAAGCGGTGGTGGGTAGCCTGTCATTCTTTTCAAGCGCCTACAAACCACGATGGGCAAGTGAATCTCGACCACGTGGAAGAAAATAAAAAAGAACGTTCTTGGTGATACTCGTCGACTCATCCCTAGTGACGGGACTCGAGATAGTCCTAGAGCTCCGGAGCATCTCAAGGACATCAATGCACCTGAACATTTCGTAATTGAGTTAGGTTGTGATATAGTGTACATCGAACAAGACACATGTATGATAGTAAAGAGAGCGTAATCGATCGTCGTGTCGGGGCGTCGAGACAAATTCGTGTACTCCTGCATACTTGCGCCTCGCATTCTCTCTAACTAACTCTGCTTGTGTCCGGATATATACTGATTTGTAGGGAGTGTATCCTTCCCGTTCAATCTTTGTATTGAACACGATAATGAATTAGCCATTAATAATTTTATCATATGTAACTGCCTCGAAGAATATAGTGAACCGAAGTACTTACAGGAAAACCAGTAACAAGGGGCCTCTCAACGGGCCATCGTTCCCAACACCAAACACAGGTAGGTAGGAGCAACCCCAAGGTTCGCATACCACGAGGTGCGACGGCGAGGAACGATAGTGTCGATACGTCCATGCTAGGGATCATATTTGCCCCGGTATCGTCACTATGTTATCCCACGGCTGATGTAGTATATCAAGAAAGATCCAGCTGATGGAGTTGCCCGAGGCGTCTGGGAATAGCAAAGCACCAAGGAAGTGCCAGAGCCACACTCTAGCGAACCTGTCGATCTGAGCCTTATCAGCCTGTGGGTCCAAGTAATCAAAACGCTCTGTGATCCACGACGACGAAACACCGGAACTTTCCCTGAAATTCACCAAAGAAAATAAGACTCAATGGCTGCAGGAAAGCAATGCAAGTATTAAATGGGCTTGAATTGCTCACTTATTTTTCTTGGAAACCTCGTCGTCCGGTGGAAGAAAGCCAATGAACTAAGCCATCAGCTCCCTCCAGTGATCATTGTCAACTATACCTGTCACTGAAAGTTCCCCCAACCGAAGGCCAAAGATAGCCTTCACGTCCTGCATGGTCAAGGTCATCTCGCCTCAAGGTAGGTGGAACGTGTGGGTCTCAGGCCTCCACCTGTTATAAGAATAAAACGACTGTTAGTTATCTTAAATTTGTTATAAAAATGTTTACGTACAATGAAGGCACTCGCACCTGTCTACAGCTACAGTAGTAGTGTTGGGTCAAGGGGCGGAAGACCATAGTTGATAACACGGACAAGCTCGAGGAAGCCGGCACGCCGTATGTACGGCGCGTAACGCTCATCCCACTGGTGCGCCCCGGTGTACGTGCAGGGCCTCAAAGGAGGCAAGGGCACCTCTGCGTCGGTATCAGTCAAGAAGTGTGCTCGGTGCGGGTCGTTGTACTCCACCTCAAGAAGGGAGTACAACTGGTGCTGCGTGGGAGGGATCATCCTGTTACAAATTGATAAACAAAGGGTTAGAGTATTCAAATTAACAATATTCAAATTAACATTATGTAGTATTGTAAAATTTAAACTACTTGTTATGCAATACGAACACAATATGAAAGCACATATATATATATATATATATATATATATATTCAAAGTAACATTAACAGACATATTAAACAACTTCACTAGAAAAATAAGCAACTTCTATGTATAGCTGTTGAGACACAAGACAACTAGAAGATGTCATAACTGCATTTGCTATATAGCTTTCCTTTCTTTTTTATTGCACTGTTCATTTACAGTATATAATTTACACAATCCATAATTGGGAGATACCATAACGTGCATTTGCTATATAGCTTTCATTTCTTTTTCATTGCCTTTGTTGATTTACTGAGTATATAATTTACACAATCTATAATTGGGGAGATGCCATAACTGTATTTGCTATATAGCTTTCCTTTCTTTCCTCTCATGATAGCCCGTTTCCATCCACGAAGCGACGGCCTTTCCCCACTCGCTCCCCACATTTAAGCATTTCGCCCAACTTGAAAAGACAAATTAAAGCCATGGCCGGCGCGGCGCTTCGTAATACGCTAAAAGCTTCTTTGCCAACTTTAGAATGAAAACGAATACGGATAATACGGAAAGCTATTCACGGCACCGCGCTAATGAGTATGCTAGAGGTTTCGTTACTAAGCTATATCTAAATCGGATGAATGTATCTATGGAGGGTGAGCGTATCTATGGACAATTTAGGAAAACAAAACCATGGTTTTTCGTTACATTGAGTATGCTAAAAGCTTCTTTGCTAACTTAAAAATAAAATAGATACAAATAATATAGAAAGATAACCATAGCCCCACGATAATAATATATATACTATAAGCTTCTTTGCCAACTCTAAAACGAAAGGTGATGAATATATTTTACAAAAGAAATTTAACGAAACATACACGCAAAATTCATTGCACACGGGACTGTTGATATCCCTACCAAATACCTATATGAATTTTACAAAAGCTTGCTGAATTTTACAAATACCTATGTGCTGGAGGGCGCGGCGGGCGACCGGAGGGGGTGGCGTGTCGGCGTGAGTGCAGTGTCTGGGCGCGGCGTGTGGCGCTGCCAATTGTGAGGAGTGGCGCGGCCGGCGTGCATGGCGCGTCGGCCGACAGGGTGGGTGGAAACCTTTGCCAGGCGGGCTCGGCGCAGTGGAAGAGCGAGGCAGAGGAGAGGGCGGCTCGCGGGCGATATTTACCTAGGACTGCCGCGCCGTTAGGCATGGCGCGGCACTGCCGTGCCAAGATCGGTGGCGCGGCAGAACCTGCCACGTCACCGGTCAGCGCCCCGGTCGTCGCCACGTCATCTCCCTCGCCGCGCCACCTTGCATGGCGCGGCACAGTTGTTTCGCCGCGCCAGGGAAATAGGCGCGGCCAAAAGTGCTAGTTTTGGGGGGGAAAATAAAACAGTGTTAGATTTAAAATTAGTTTAAAAAAGTGTTAAAAATAAAAAAAATGGAAATGGTGAAGCCTCTCGCAGGCTTGCAGTAAATGACATCTTTATCCCTTTTGTCATTCGCTGTGATAAGTTACTAGTGAGTTACCTTTGTACTAGTACTAGTATTAATGAGTAAAGAGGTGCAAATGAATATTGCAAATTTTGAGTTTCTGCTTGGATATTCTAAAAATTCTGGATGTTGAGCCAATGAACTCGAGGTCTGCTAGCTGGGATGTTTTATCCTGTTGCTCGTTTAGTTGATCGGTGGATGTCTAGTGGATATTGGAGAGTCGAAAGCTCGAATCTCTTACTGGACTGTTTTAAATCTTTTACTTGGAAATAATTATGAACTGTACCATTTTGTACTACTAAAAGCCCTTCAGGGTTGTCTCGTTTTTTTGAGTATTTGCAGCAGGCTGCCTAACACGCCCCCCTACTCTATGTTAGTAGAGAAAAAAAATAACTCTTAAGAGCATCTCCAAGAGTTCTCTAAAACTTACTTCCTAAATTATCAGTTGTAGTTATTTGCATAAAAATTATTTTCTATATATTTTCATTCTCCAATAACCATTTTCATATTTTGTGTGCATTTTAGAGCGCCATTGTATTTTTTATCTTTTGCTAGTGAGAAATCTGAAATAGAAGATAGTTATGTTTAGATAACCAACTGTTGGAGAGTAATTTTTTCATAAAAAATCTCTATTCCTGACAATTAGGAAGGGATTATTTGGCTACCCAATTCTTACACACGCTATCCGTTGTTGGCTACCTATACCCATACCTAAATCACGGCTAAAGTAGCCTCGTATGTGTGATTTTTCCAAAAAAACAGAAAGAGTAAGAACTTAATGAAAATATTGAACATATAGAATACAAAATACAAATTAACTCATCTAATTTAGGTATATATTATTTCATATTCCCCCCCCCCCTAGAAAGTACTAGGCCCTAGAAAACAAAGGGGCTATCAAAACAAACAAATGAGGGGCTGTTTTAGTGGAGATGCTCTTAAGGGCACATCTCTCAAGAAAACAAAAGGGCTATCTAATAAACAAATAAATAGGAGCCTGTTTTAGTATACTGCTGGAAATGCTCCTCTGGCTTCTGCCTGCTAGGTAGGTTACCGTGCCTTAGCTCTAAGATGTTTGCAAAATTTCAAGTTCGTATGATAAATTGAATACATTTAATCCAGAATAATAATAAAAAAGATCAAATAAATGCCTTCAACCTGCTCACAGCTTAAATTTCTGTAGCTAGGGACGGACAGCTCAAAAATTTCGTGAAGCTAGAGAACACTTACAAGCCTCATGCTTACATGTGCATGGTAATATAGTTATTTTATTTTGAAAAGTAAGATTTTGACAGCACATCAAATCAAATACAAACATTTAACTTGAGGGTGCAAATTAAATCAAGACGACACCACAAATCCACCAAGTCATCCTTACATAGGTATAGCCAAAGGAAAAAATAACAGCATTGGATAACATCCTAGAGTAAACATATTGCAGCAACCTAGAGCGATATAACCAAAGTACAATACTAGCAACGAGGATCATTTTTCTTCCACTCTGGTGAAGCACTTCCACTTGGCTTGGCATGCCATGTGTATCCAGAAAGCTCTTTCCCCAACTGAGCTTGCCTTTCGAACCAGGGCCACATATCCTCTCTGGGTCCAATAATTAACATCCAACCAATAATCCTTTTCATCTGCTACCACATCACAAAAACCGTTTCACAGAGGTAGATGGCACAAACGAGCACCAACCATTGCAGGCTCATCCCACGGCATACGTATGATAGGACAGGAAGCTCAGTCGGAGCTTGCATTGGCAACTGGCAACCTTCTCCACTTATCCGCATTCTCAACTCCAGATCTTTACTTCGGTTTGGGCAGTGCACCATAACTTCCTCGAGCTGCAGACAGCCCCAGCGCATGTGCAAACATTCTTTTAGCTGCTCCAGTCTGCTCTTTCTTCAAGCTTTCAGCAGTAACAGCTCTAGCATTAGTTGTGTGGCACCTTTGGTTTGATGGAGTTTGATTCGAGTTACTACCAGCTGAGTTTGGCTTCCCATTTCGAACTGCTTCTCTATTATCTGGTGTAACCGGGCAGAAGTTGTTCCTGCTATGTGTTGGAATATTTTTCCCATTCAACAGCTGTTTTCCTCTGCTTTCTGTGGAGGCAACTGTCTCTGTGGTATTTTGAACCTTTTGACCGAGTGCATGGGCAATCATCCGTTGAGCAACAACAGGAACCTGTCTACATTTCATATGTGACCTATCATTTCCCTTGGCACCATCCCCAGAGAAGATACGCTCGCGAGCAGCTCGATAAGCAGCTTCCCTCTCCTTCAATGATGCTGCTGGAAGTACTGCTGGCTGCTTCAGAGGTTTCAGGTCTGAAAGATAAGGACAAACTGGTTACTGGTTGTACTTTTCATTTTTCAAACCCGCATGCTTCTATGTAAATTTATATGTTGAGATCCATGCAAATAATGTTTACCAAATTCCTACTTGTAACCACAAGACTTCTGGCTGAAAGGCAGAGTTCATATCCTGCATACCTGTATTGTCTTTCAGATGCGAGTTTTTAACAGAAACAGCTTCTTGGACAACATCTGCCTTCTGAGGTTTTTGAAAATCTGATAGAAGAATCACAACTTGTTACACAGGAGTGAGTACATGAGACCTTACACTGATATGCATAATAGTGGTTATAATAACATTACAAGGTGATGATGTATTCAGAGTTTTTGGGGGCGACAATAGTTAGGCATCAAAACAAGTATGTCCTCTGACGTATCAGAATATGTCCATACAAACAGCGAAAAGCACATATGCTGCAAATGAACTAGATAATACATATGTATTGGCTAACCACCCATGTAAAGCCCGCAAGAACATGGGTGTAGATTTATTTCTACAACCAGTTTTTTTTACATCTCCTATTGCCAAATCTTGCTTACAAAGATATATATTGCTCATCTACAGCCCCTTATAGGTAGATTATGACACTAAGGTGCCCTTTGGATCCCAAAAGATTTTGAGAATCCGGATAAAAAGAATCCCAACAGTTTTATGGGATTTCGAGATTCTAAAAGTCTGTGAGTTAAAATCCATTATAATCTAGCCCGTTTGAATGAGAATATAGGATTATGAGATTTTTTTCTATCCGGATTCTTAAAATTTGGAGGATCCAAACGGAACCTAAGTATGTCCAAATACTAGATGTACATGATACGACAGATAAAATACCCCTCTTTATTTTATTATAAATGGGCAGAAAAAATGACTCACCTGTATCATTTCTGGTTAGCACAACAGACGTCAAATCATCACTGCAATCAAACTTCCATAACATATCACTAACAAGGACAGATGGGCTGCAACAAACGAGATAACTAATTCAGCCTAAAGGGAAAATACAACAGCTAAGTATTTACTCAATAAGATATAGCATAGCTTTTGAGATAAATATAGTATAGAAAGAAAAGAGCAGGTGAGAGCAGCAACAAAAGGTAAATCCAACATGAAGAAAGCAAGAATTAATTAGGGTGCAACTGGCATGGTCAGATTCAGATGTAGAGAAAAGAAGTGACCATATCTATTAATACCTCCAAACAGAATATCATACTACAAGGGATTACATATATCAAAATGCAACTTGCAAAGTTGTGTCTGAGTGTGTAGATGAATTGGCTGTAATTTGATTTCTCCTGCATTCATCCAAGCATCAAATGCTGGTTGAAAGATACTTGAAATATACTAACATTGTGGTACAATGGGGGTTCTGCTCTAATGTTAGAACATAGTCTATATAACAGAACAGCAAAGGCATAAAGATGACAGGCAACAAGTCAAGAAAACATGACATGGAGAGAGATTTTATTGGAAGCAAGCTTGGCAACATACATGGCTGTTTCAGGGCAGCGCTGGAGGACTAAATGTCGATCCTCGCCTTCACCAACCGATTCATGAGCGAACCTAGGTAGAAGCAGGCAAATTAGCTGTTAGTCACAGCACAGACACAAAACATCACCCCAATTAAGCTAGCAGAGGTGTACCCATAAATTTCAGCAAGGCGATGCAAGAGAAGGCGGTGGTAGGCCCCGGCAGGCTGGAGCTCTATAGTATCCGCCGCGTCGTCGTCCTCTTCAAGGTCGCCGTCGCCGTCGCCGTCGCCGTCGCCGTCGCGGCAGTGCAGCTGCTGGAGGGCTGCGATGAGGGACTCCTCGGTGGAGAGGATGAGGTGCTTGCTGTGCAGGTTATCCTTGATGAGCGAGGCCAGCTCCTCAACCATGGCGAACTGAGTGGTAGCCATCTCCCGATTGGATTGCCGACGGAAGCAGCGAGCCAATTCGATCTGCCAAGCCGAACGGCGGAAGTGCTGCTGAGGAAAGCCTAGCCTAGCCCTAGCCTAGCACAGCCGCAACTCCGACTGGGGAGGGGAGGCGGGCTGCTGAGGCTGGAAGAGGAGAGGATTCGTCGGAAAACCCTGGGCTGAAGCAAGCATCAATTAGCTAGGGCATGGACGCCGTCGCCGTGGAGGGAGCGGGGATTCAGCAACAGGTGTAGTAGGCCATGGGGTATCCGTACAGGTGTGGAGTCGGAACTTGGGTCCAACTCAGGACATGTTTAGTTTGACCAAATTTCCAATTTGATACTATGCAAAAAGAAGATTCTCCGTTATATCAAACTTACGGTACATTGTATGAAGTACTAAATGTTGACAAAATCAAAAACTAATTGCACAGTTTAGTTGTACTTTGCGAGACAAACATTTTTAATAATCAACGGTTAGATAATTATTAGCAAATAAAAACAAAACGCTACAGTGCAGCTACAGTGTTCGGTTTTTCCGGCGGCGCCCAATCGGTGCTGAACTAAACATGGCCTCAATTTGGAATTGGAAGTGGAATTGGAATTTGGTGGCGTGCAGGTGCAGGGAGGAACGGAAACGCTCAAGGAAGGCGTGGAGGCGGACGATCCGTCAGTCAGTCAGGTGGTTGCAGTCCAAATAAGGGTGATCCACGTAACGTTGACACAATTATTTACACAATACAAACTATTATTATTTGTGGTTTATAAAAAAACTTTTTTCTTTCATTATATCTCACCTTTATTTTCTCTTCTTCTTCTTTTTTAGCATAGACCACGTTCTCTCTTCTCAAGCATATGTAGCTTATGCAAGCCACTATACAAGTGTAGATCACCTATTTTTTTTATTCGATCATACGTGGCACTTGGGGCTACCAGTGTGTGGGGGTATGGCCCCCGGTATCCTCAAGACAAGACATGGGCCGCACCATCAGAGGTGGTCCGGCCCATAAGATCGAGGCGTGCAAGGCAAGATTACAAGTTGTACTAGATATTGTAATAGTACCAAATATAATACTTTATTTGTAACCCTCCTCCTCCAGACTATATAAGGAGAGGTAGGGGTCCCCCTCAGGGAGGACAATCGGTATACATCTCAATACAGTACACCAAAGACACATGACGTAGGGTATTACATCGACCAGACGGCCCGAACATGTCTAAATCGCTATCTCTGCGCCTTGTGTCACCGTCTGGTTCCTGATTACACGCACCGTCTACCGATAATCTACCACCACGGGCACCCCCCTCGGTGGACTGCTGACCATATTTCGTCGACAGTGGCGCGCCAGGTAGGGGTCCCCTTTAGGGGTTGTGCGCATTGATCTTTCGACGAGCCAGATGAGAATTTTCGTTGATTTCTACCGAGTAATCGGGTGAGTCGTTCTGAGCAACGCTTTTGATTAGATCAATCTGCTCTCCACATATCTAACTCAGATTAATTTTTATGCATGTCATATCTCCGTGATCCGGTTTGGCGGTGAGCCGCTTTTCCTGTCACATGCCGCCATACGAGGGGTTGAAACTTGGCACCACACGCATGCATCCATGGTGGACCAGTGGTTACTGGCCTAACAATCAGCAACGTGCCTTCGGATCTCGTTGCAACTTCATGGTGGACAGACATCGGCGTACCCGTCCGTCTTCACACTTTGGCCTCACGATATTCGACATATCTTTGCCGGTTCTCGAGGCCTCGACAACTCAACAGCGTGCGCGCAATGGACTCCTAGTTCGCGCACGGGCGGACATGCAAGCCAATAGCAACACCACGGAGGTCTACGCACAAGCAAATAGAGGAGTATGTGTGCATCTACAAGCACATATATGCGTTGGGAGCGGATCCACTTGCTTGCATGTCGTGCTAAGGCATCCATCGTGGCATCCATACAATACTAATACGTACAATGAAATACGTCCAAGTCCAAATACATGGAGCCATCCGAATCAAGTTGTTAAGCGAGGCGCATACGAGCTACCAAAAGAAGCGTCCGAAATTTGTTTAAATTAGCCACGTCGAGCCATCGGTGAGCCACCCAAACCGTGGGCGGCGAGCCATGCCGAGCCAACCAAATGAACCGCCACGAGCGCATTGAAAGCGAGCCACGTCGAGCCATCAACCGAGCAGCTGGCGGCTCGCGAGAGCTCCGACCACGTCGATCGCGACCACGTCCAGAAAGCGGCTCCACCGAGCTCCGACCACCTCGACCACCAGACCATGTCGCAATGATGATCGCCACGAAGAACGGCGCTATGACAACCGCGACCACCGTCACAACAGCCGAAAAGTACAAGGATCGGACAACTTTATCGCCATCGACGATTTCTATCCAAAGATAAGTACACTTCTAATATTTATATTTAATATAATTTTCATTCGACGTTTCTCCACAACGTCCTGGTCATGATTATTCTTCAAATAATGTTTGTCCATGTATACCATCTTAAATATAACATACAGCTATACTTAATGCAAATCCTCGACCAGTCATGTTGACGCTCGATGTCTCCAGAAAAGGCCCTGTCTCCGGCTCCTCCCTACACGTGCGGCGTACGCCCTCTGCGTTATGGGTCGGCAATGGCTCCTTAAGCGACGCTTTGTTCTTCCTACACGTGAGCGGGCTCCGCGCCCAGCGTTATGGTTAACAGGCTAGCTAGGGCTGGAGACTCGGACTACATACTAATCGGTCGGGCAGTTTATATTAAGTATAAACACAAACCTCACTTTAACACTGATGTTTACAAAGCACCAACTGCTTTATCACATCATACTCATTTGCAAATGACTGTTGAGCGTCATTTTCTCCATAATTTATTACTTTGTACATCATGTACTACCATTCTACATATTTATATTGCAGTAATTTCGAGCTATGCTCGGGGACTTCGTCGCTCGCTCCTCGACCTGTGCTCGGGGACTACCTCGACCACTCTCCGACCACGGCTCGAGGACTTCGTCGCTCGCTTCTCGACCTACGCTCGGGGACTGCCTCGATCACTCTCCGACCACAGCTCCGGGACTTCGTCGCTCGCTTCTCACGCACGGGGACTGCCTCGACCACTCTCCGACCACGGCTCGGGGACTTCATCGCTCGCTCCTCGACCTATGCTCGGGGACTGCCTCGACCACTCTCCGACCACGGCTCGGGGACTTCGTCGCTCGCTCCTCGACCTGTGCTCGAGGACTGCCTCGACCACTCTCCGACCACGGTTCGGGACTTCGTCGCTCGCTCCTCGACCTATGCATGCTCGGGGCGCCTCGACCACTCTCCGACCACGGCTCGGGGACTTCGTCGCTTCGCTCCTCGACCTACCTATGCTGGGGGCGCCTCGACCACTCTCCGACCACGGCTGGGGACTTCGCGTCTCGACTACATGATTTGGCGACATCGCATACGATTGGGATATTCTTTCTCGTTTAGACCTTGCTACAAGGCTCATACATCGCCTTCCAGCAACCTCGTGGACTATATCGGTACGATGCACTTGCCGGTGCATCTTGTATCGCCTGTACGACGATTGGTTTCTCAACTGAACTGGGAATTCTTTTTAGACCCTAGCACCACGTGCCTGCGTCACCTACTACCGGGCTCGGGGACTAAGTGGGCACACTTCACCTTGCGGTGAATGTGCTCGTCCGATGGATCAAACGCCTCCAGTTCTACAAGGGCGACGGTGTCTCTTTTCGACTCGAGTCAAAGTGGGCACGCCGGGGAAATATTTTTCAAATTTTATCTTGAGCCCCTTACATCCTTCTAGCAAGCTCAAGGCAGCGCTACTCGAAGGATACAAGGCGCTCGGAGACTAGCCGTGGGGTATGGCCCCGGTATCCTCAAAGACAAGACATGGGCCGCACCATCGAGGTGGCGGCCCATAAGATCGAGGCGTGCAAGGCAAGATTACAAGTTGTACTAGATATTGTAATAGTACCAAATATGATACTTTACTTGTAACCCTCCTCCTCCGGACTATATAGGAGAGGCGGGCGCCCCCCTTAGGGAGGACAATCGGTATACATCTCAATACTGATACACCAAAGACCACGGGACATAGGGTATTACGTCGACCAGACGGGCCGAACTGTCTAAATCATTATCTCTGCGCCTTGTGTCACCATCGGTTCCACGATTACACATACTGTCTCACCGATAATCTACCACCACGGGCACCCCCTCGGTGTGGGTGCCGACCATATTTCGTCGACACGGTGAAAAAAGTAGCGTTGGGAAGCCCCTCGAGCACTCTGTTCTCCTCTCCTCACTTTGTTTTAACGGTGAGGCTAAGCGCTCAATGTACGGTCCAAGGCCCGTGTCGGATGCGCTCCCCCACCCCTGCGCCAACTCCGTTCCGCACGTCTCACCCGCTGGGAATCTACGCCGCTCGAATGACTCGCCCCCACTCACGCAGCCCGTCCCTATGTAGGCCCACGTCGTCCGAACATCACCAGCATCGAGAAGAGGAGGAGACACCGAGGCGAGATAGCTGAAGGCGAGAAGAGATGCAATACCTAATCTACTTTTAAAATATTCAAATGAAACTTTTGTAACGTACGTTCAAAAATAGTTAAAACACTTGCAACGTACATCTGAACACTTATAAAAACACCTGAAAAACACTTGTAAAGCCATTGCAAAATATGTACAACATACAGATAAAACACATGCAACATATGTGCGAAACACGTGCAATATCCAGATAAACACACTTACAACATAGTATGGAAAAACAACTAAAACATTAGAAACAAAAGCTTATAACATACGTGAACAACCATTGCAATATATGTAACATCCCGATCTACTTTTACAACATCCACATAAAACACTTGCAACATTCAGATGAAATATCTAAAATACTTGAAACATACTCTTGCAACATGCATTTCCAGCGCGCAATGTCACCTTGCTGCTTGGACGAATCACGGAGCTCGACGCCACCGCAGCGCATGGAGCTCGCCGGTGCGCCTCTGGGGCGAGGACTTGCTCGGTGGCCTGGGTGAGCACCTGCGCAAGGCGCGTGAGCACCCCTGGGCGAGCACCTGCTCTACGCCCTAGGCTAGCGCACATTGGGTGTGGCGGAGGATGGACTTGGCGCGGCAGGGGACGGAGACGCCACGGGGGATGGCGGCAGCGGCGCGCCGGAGTGGTCTGACAGGGTTGGCGGCTGAGGCGCAGGCGGGCAAGCGCTGCGCCTCGGAGGCGGTCGCGCGCCGCACTTGGCTAGGGCAGCGTCCGAGTGTTAGAGGTGGCAGGCGAGTGGATAGGAGCAAGTGAGCGAATAGGGAGTACGTGGATGAGGTGATTTTTTTATTTTGAAATGGAGGAGCGAGGGGTCTTAGGCTGACCGCACGTGGTCCACCAACGGTGCGTCTGGACGCTTGCATCCTAGCATTATCGTTGTTTTAAATTGAAAAGCTAGATGAGTTAAGTTGTGAATACTTTCGAGCTAGGAAGTAGGATAAGGGTCTGTTTAGGAATGTTCTGTTCTATTCTTTTTCCGCTTTCAACTTCGTCGGTCAAATAGAACAGCTCCATAAACTTCGCTCGTGACAAAATACATAGTTGGAGACCAAATCTATACTTTTTCAGAACTCCTCAAGAAGTACTCAAAAACTCAAAATTTGTAACTTTCTTGTGAACTTGCTAGAAAATTATACCACGACTAGAAGATGACATCGGAGACTAGAAAGAGGAGTACAAAGGCTGCGTTGGCTAGTGGAAATTTTAGCTGAATTCATTGTTCATGGCTGAAATTTATTGTTCACGCTTTCACAAATTTCTCAGATTCATCAAATTCTTCCGGTGAACAGGCCTAAAGTTGCAGCACTGTTCAATGCAATAAAAAGGTTAATTAGAGCGTGTGTTGAATGCATCTGCAAAGGGTAGGTGTTGGGACCGAAAAGCCTAGTGCCAATGGAACACAAAAGGCTTCTACACAAGTTGCAATGATGAAATAAAGTAACGTAAAAAGGTCTTGTTTAGTTCATCCCTCTAAAATTTACTCTATGTCCCATCGAATATTTAGACATGTGCATAGAGTATTAAATATAAACTAAAATAATAATTAATTACACAGTTTACGACTAATTTGCGAGACGAATCTTTTAAGCCTAATTAGTTCATGATTTAACAATATGGTACTACAGTAAATTTTACCTCGCCTCAACCATTTCTTTGCCCTAGTAATCCTCGCAGTCACATTTTCTAGTTCTTTGCTCAAAGACAATATCAATTTTATGTGGCAAACACAATAATAACATAGAAACTTAAAGGGATTGTAAACATGACTAACCTCGTCATGACCAACCATATGGCCACGATAGTGACCTACGCCAAGCTCCGAAGGCACGAGGCAATAGTTGGTTGGCACTCGACATGTTCCCAACACGGTGCTCTCAACTACCACCTTCTCCTCCCCTTTCATAAGCCAGTTTAGTCCCTATCACATTGGATGTTCGGATGCTAATTAGAAGAACTAGACATAAGCTAATTATAAAATTAATTGCACAGAGGGAGATTAATTTGTGAGACGAATCTATTAAGCCTAACTAATCCATCATTAGCACATGTTTACTATAGCAACACATTGTCAAATCATGGACTAATTATGTTTAATAGATCCGTCTCATAAATTAGTCTTCATTTATGCAATTAGTTTTGTAATTAATCTATGTTTAATACTTCAAATTAGTGTCTACACATCCGATGTGACAGAGACTAAAAATTAGTCACTGGAACCAAACGGGCCGGTTCACAAAGAAGCTGTTCGGCTAATGGTTTTTACGGCTGATAAGCCGGCTGTATCTGTTTTGTTTTGTGAGAGAAAAACATTATACCATAGCTGATAAGACGGGCTGATAAGTTTAAGCGAACATCACGAAACAAGAAGGCTAAAAGAACCAAATTCGGCTCTGTCGCGATTGTGTTCTTTATAGGGCACATCTCATATCTACTAGAAAGATCGCGGCAACGTATGGCCAGTGGACGTGCCCATTGTATTATAGATGGTCCTTGTTTTGTGTACAAATAAAATCATGTGAAAACAGCAATTTTCTTACTTGATCAATGATCTAATATAAATATGGGACTATCATATACTCTGGGCTTACTGAATCCAGGGGCCTGATAAAACTATCCATATTAATAACTTCAGTAAAGGAAGGTGGAATAGGGTGTTTTTAGGATATTGGGGAGAATATATGCCAGTTTAAATGGAACTTATGAGTAAATCATGATTATTTGGTTCAACATTTTTCAGTCTGGGGCATATAACATAGAGAATATGAGGTTCTGATACTGGAACATGAGATGTTTCAGTGCAATTAACATCATTAGAAGGTTAGGATACCTGGCGACTAATCAATTTCAAATCTCTTAATAGGAATCCTGCTTATGCCATTAAGATGTATTAAGGACACATTTTGGAGAATTGAGTATTATCACAACAGAATACATAATATATTGGACACACATTATATCAAATACTTGGTGTGCATAAACTTCTGATTCTAAACAGGAAAAGAGCTGAGCAACCTAATCAAGCATGAGGTGGATCGGTTTCTTTCTAAAATTGTGCATCTACATCCAGTGGAACGTATTCTGTTCTAGCTCCAGCACCATCCCAGCACTCTATGGCTGTCGTGGGCACCGTGGCCGGATCACCGTTCTTGCTGTCTAACAACGCCAGCCTTCACTGCTTACGCAGTCGAGCAGACTCTGGTGCACCTGTGACACCGACTGCAACATGAACTGGGCATGCTTGCCATTGAAGATGGTGTTGAGGAACCCTGCCATAGCAACGGCTCCTGGCACCTTGATGCCGCCATGGCCGGTGGGGTCGGCGACGTGGTGGCCGCGCTTGCCGCGTCGGTGTTCGGGCAGGAGCTGTTCCTGCTTCAGTTGCAGTCCGTGGACCATGCTGGCCTTGAGGGTCACTGCCAATGGCTGCTGCAGCTGGTGGTGGCGGCATCCCTCGTCACGATCGCTGCCAGCGCCGTCCTGCCTAGGAGCTTCGCCATGGCGGTGGTGCGGTCATCGTCGGAGCTGCTCTAGGGCGTGTGGTTCATGGTTATGGGCACCGTGGCTCGGTCGGCAGTCTGCCTGTGCGGCATGGTGTGCGCGCGTGTGCGGTTGTGGTGCAGGAGTGCCTTCGTCCGTCTCAGCACTGCCCGAGACAGCTCGGCCAGGCAGCCGACGGCAACCTTGATCCATGGCAGCTGTAACAAACGAACAAAAAAATAGTTGTGTTCTGTTCACGGAAGCATGTGGTCTGATTAAAAATCACTGATATGCTATCAAGAAAGTATCTAGTGACATGAAAAAACTTCACACAAAGAAAGCGTGTTCATGTGTAAGAAACACAGATATGGTATCAAGTATGTATATGATTATCTGGATGAGGAGCTTCCTACAACTGTTAGGCAAACCGAATGTTCCACAAATTAAGCAACAAGATCTATCTGATCTAACAAACTGACTACGAAATGCAATCCAAGATCCTAGGAACGAGGACGCCGCCCTGGGCGCGATCACCCCTTCGTCGCCGCGCTCTGCGCGCTTCACGCCCGCGTCTTCAGCCACGGTTACGCTTCCTTCGCTGGTACACTTGGCCCACCATAACACTAGTTGTGTATACTGTTCGTTTACAATGTGCTAGTGACTTGATGTAATGCTAGCTAGAAAATAAAAACTGGGTGTGGACTAGTGAATGAGTTATACCAGGAACATGGCGGAAGTCTACCTCTGCAGCTTCAGGTGCAAGCGACAAGGACAATCTGCCTCTGTACAATTTTTGCTCCTTGTCTTGACAAATCTTCAGGGAGCACAGGACTATGCAAAGGGGAAATTTTCAAAAGATCCATCTATGCAGGATGTCAGGAAGGGTTGGGAATGAGTCAAAGTGGCTATGTCAGCTTTGCATCTAAAGCCTTGATCCATCAAGGCTATTTTGACCTGCTTGAATGCTGCATTCCCTCAGCTCTCTCTATGTCAATTTCCCCCTGCAAAATTACACAAGATTCAGTCCTTGAGTCTAAATCAGAATTAAGGTACAAACAGAATAAGAAAAATTGAATGGAAGAAGAAAAGAATATTCCTAAATCACAAAAAATAATCATTTGTGGAAGAGAAATATTTTACTGCACTGAATACAAATATGAGTGTTGCATCAAGAGCTACTGAAAAAGAACAAATGCTGTACCATTTCATCAGGAACTCTATTAGGTCCGTTAGCATCTTAGATTCCTTGTCTAATTGGTTCTCTTCTCTTATGCAGAGAATCCATCACTGACCCTTCAGGCTGCTGACCAGTTCTATCAGATGGGTCCAGGCTGCTTAGACCCCAGGTATACATGACAAACTTCCGCACCTGTTACCAGCAAAATCAATATGCTTTATTGATCATGGAGACAACCAGAATGATATAATGATCAAATTTGAATGATATAATGATCAAATTTGGACCAAACTATTCTTCACCTTATCCCAATTTCGCTGAGCACGTCGTTTGCTCAGAATTTTCAGCATTCTGGTATCCTCGTCATGAAGCTTCTTTATCCTTGCTTCACACTGAAAAACGATGTGTTAATAACACGAGCAATTGCATAACTTTTATTTTATTTTCTTGCTATGATAAACAGACAGCTCATGGTTATTCCTTTGTTTCAGTGCCACAGAATGAGCGTGAATAACAACCAAATGGACAGTGGACGTGAAGGAACCAAATAAAAGGGCAAAGGGATGCAAAGATGCAGAAATCAAAGTTGGACTATTTAGTTTTATTGGCACAAAATGAAAAACGTTGGAAAGGTTTTCAGACAGCAAAACCAATTTGGCAAGACTTACTTGAGCCATGAGGCAGAGACAAATAGCCACACTGAAGGCATAAAGGCCACCAATGCTTGCGAGTACACTAACTGCAGATAACTGTCTCCATTAGATGCTACAAATATAAAATCTGTGCATAAAGGACATTGCTTCATGAGACTCACCTGGGCCTACTACACTCTCATTGCTGATCTCCACAATGTAGTCTGAGAGATAACTTATGTAAAGAGTAGTATTCACCACTCCATCCCTGGGGTTCTGCAGGGACGAATTCAAGCTGCCGACATCAGAAAACGTAGATCCTTGAGTGAAGTCCTGAACCAGTGGCTGCAAGAGCCTCAGGTTACCAAGATTGTTGTATATCTGAGGGAACAACTGGATCTTCAGAACATTGGAATCTCTTCCCCTAAACGTCTTCAACTTGCCATCATCAGCATAACCGTCAGAGTTCATCGTACCACTGACAAAGCTCATGTGCTTGTTGTTGCCATGTTGCCTTGCGGTCAGGTTGAACTGGAAACCAACAGCGCTTGCTGGCTGCCCTGGCATGTCGACAAATTGCCAGGACACGTAGTGGTCTCTCGGAGGGATCCGGCATCCATTGCACCTGAGCGTAATGGATGGCCCCTGGCTTGTGTTTGTGCAACTGTAGGTGAACAGTGCTGGCAGGGGAATCACCCTGAAGTCCATGAACCCTGGTGTCCCCATTGCTACTGTCGAAGGAGCAACTGCTTGAGTGCAGGACATGCTGGAGGCGGTTGTGATGTGGAACTCGAGATCGTTCACGAAAGACAGCAGGTCCGGGCGTTGGCTGGCTTGACTCGATGCATCTCAAGGCTGCGCCTTTTGATGGCTTGATACAAGAGCCTGTAATAATCTGAGAATAAGTTAGATATGGTAACTAATAAAATCAAGCAGAGGAGCTGATTAATTTGTAAAAAGGTCTATGAGCAGAAATTACACAGTCAATAATCCAGTGAAGATGATCAAGCTAGCGACTGAAAATGTGCCACCCAACTCGGTTTTCCTTTTCCTTAGTACTTGCTGATCCCCCTGGACATTTTCAGGAGCCAAAACAATGCAACTCAGGATAAACTTTTTCAGTTTCCAACATGAGAATGAACATCAATGAATGGAGCAATAATGTATGATCCTGTTTACTGGAGCTCGCTCTCAGTCCAGACACCTAGGTTCGAGCCCTGCATCATCTTAATTAAAAAAGCGGGGTGCGGTCTGCTCCTTCCCGTCAAGGGTTTTTTGGCTTGTTTATTTATTTATGTATGATCCTGTTGTAGGATGAGTGTTTATAATCTGGTCCGGCAGGATTACAAGGGAGTTTGTGCGTTCAGATTCAGCTGAGAATTATTGCAATTACATGTAATAAACTATACAGTCAGAAGGAACAGCAGGGTCATACATTTGTGTAGTAGGTAGGAAATTCGAGATGTCCAATTGACCAAGCAAGTAAAATTTTCAATAAATTCAAAGACAACCCGCGTCATGGAAATGAAGCTATGCAAGTTGGAAGTTTCAGTTAACTTAGGGCGATCGGTAGCTCCCATAAATCATCATTGACGAAACCAAAGAGTGTTGACTGAAACAAAGATAGCAGTTCCACGTTGATCAAACTAAAATCACTTGTTCCTCGGTTGCTGGCATGTAAACTCCAGTTTTATATAGTATAATATAAAATGGTTTCATAAAACTCTCAACATAGAGAAGCTAATCCATAATTTATTGTAACCTTCTGATGCCAATAATGTTGCAACTAGTCACCTAGCGAAGACACGTGGATCTATAAACCTTGCAAAATCCAAACTACAAGACTTACTCGAACTACAATGCAATTCCTAAGCGCATTGATTCGTTTCTGGTTAAATTTGTACAGAGTCGGCATGAAATTAGCACATCAAACAAGAGGAATAGGGAACGGACCGTCCAGTGGCTGTTGTCGAAGAGGCAGTCGAGGCGGCTGACCCAGTACCGGGCCCGGAACAGCCTCTTCTCCCGCGGGGATCCCGGCCGGCGAACCTGACCGCGGCGCAGAAGGCGAGCCAGCAGAGGAGTGACGCGAGGGTTGCCTCGAGGATCACGGCCTGGGACTGGGTGAGGCGGCGGATGGCATAGATCGAGAGCACCGGCTCCAGGAAATAGAGGCTGTGGTTCCGCGGCGCGCCACGGAGCCCACCTGCCAGTCTGCCCACCCGCCGCCCGTCATCGGGGCGCAGCTGGCGGTGCCGTTGCCGCTGAGGTGGTAGTAGCACCCCGGATCGCAGGCGCAGAGGGTGGCGTTGTACGCGAACATGAGCGCCGCTGCACAGGCCGCCATGGCTGTGGGTGATCGATCCCTCTCCCTGGTAGTGGTAGACCAGACCACCAGCCGCCGAAGCTGCGCTGCACAGAAGAGAGCTTCGTTGGGCTCTCTTCAGGGTTTAATTAGGCAGCTTTGCTTGCTTGCTTACTCAGCTCAATTAAGAGGAGCTGTGTTCTAAGCTTCCACTTCACTAGTATTTTTTTAGTTGAAAAACAACCTTCTTTACCCTTTCTAGCGAAAATCATGTGCCGAAAAGAGATGCTGAGCAAATTAATAAACATGTGTGTTGGATCCCTCATCCATTGATGTCACTGTCAGTCAGTCAGCAGCTGATTTTCTTGGCTGTCTGGGGAAGGCTTCAGCATCTCAACTTCCTTTTAATATGATTATTGAGATCGATAGTTGATTACAGACAATCCATTCGGGTCAAGTCTTAATTCTTAAGCATTGCCATTCCTGTAGGTGAATGATTGAGCAGAGTAGCTCTGGCCTCTGGCAGACCCTCAGCTCACTAAAATTCAACGAGAAATTTCAAAGGAATTCCATTGAATTCAGCTGGGTCTCCTTTCAGCTCAGATACTATGGTGAACTAGTACCAACGAACAATGGTACTGTAGTATTTATCTGTAGCATTCAAAGTTCAAATTCAAAGTCACGACACGACGGAGTTCAATTTTGATATTTTGACCACCAACCACGTCCACGTGCTGTCAAATAATTGAATTTGAGTCGGGATTTTACTATAGACACATCTCTATCGCAGCAGGCAGATTGAGAACGACAGTCACTAGTAGGATTTGCATTGTACTAGCATTCCTCTATGAATCATAGCTAGAATATCTACAGTATGTTTGGTTGCTAGCCACAATTTGTCACACTTCACTTTAGACCTAGTTTGGTGCTTTCTCCGGGGTGCTTCGGCTCTGGCTCCCAACATTCTGTGTGTCACTGTTCTTTACTGTAGGCTACTGTAGCAGAAAGAAAAAACGGCTCTGGCTCTTCCAAAAATGAACTAGAAAGAGGAGTCGGAGGAGCCGCATATTTTGGGGCTACTCCCGGCTCCGCCACAATATACAGTGGAGGAGCCGGAGGTAAGAGAAACCCCTCCAAACAGAGCCTTAGATAAGTTTGATCAAATTGAAAGTGTTTGGTTAGCGATTAAACTTAGGCAAGATTTTTTAGGCTCCACATGTCATTAAAAAAATGTGACAAGATTCTCTTAGACATGATAAAGTGTGGCTTCCAATTTAATAGCCACACTTTTTATGGCTTACCACACTTGGCTAAGGTTAGTCGTGGCATATTATGGCTAGGATATAAATAGCCATCTATTAAGCAAGATTGTTTGGATCAAAAAATAGGTAGAATAACCAATCATTGGATTCTACAAAATATATAATTTTATACAAGATTTATAATATGTTGTAAAGATTGAAACCTATGATATTAATTATTATTATAATTAGCTTTTTTAAAACTTAAGTGGACTTATTAACTTCAAATAATATTGACACATCACAATCATTTGAAAAGCCATTTATATTAATTATATCTTGTAGGATCGTAGGATTATGGCCCCGTTCGCTTGTCTTAAATTTGGCTTGTTCGACTTATTTTTTCAGTCGGAACAGTGTTTTTCTCTCACAACAATTCAACTGGAACAGTGTTTTTCAGCCAGTTTCAGCCAAAGTTCAGACCAGCGAACGGGGCCTATATTATGTAGGATCATAGATTCTATGGAAGATCCTACCAATATCATGGAATCATACGGAACTCAATTATAGTATTAGGATAGGGATTAGGGATAATATAATATAAAATTTAAAATACATGATAAGATCATTATCGTTTTGGTTTGGTATTATGGTATCCTAAGCTTCTAGGATCCAGATCGGAATCCTAACAACCTTCAACCTTGGCAATAAGTACAACATAGTGGTCTTAATTAACAAGTCAAATTACATACAAAACATGAAAACAATCAACTCACCCGGCAACACCAAGCACATTATTTACCTACACTTCTGGAGGGAAAAAAATCTTACTCCACTTCTGCAAATCTCCCGCTTTTGGGAGTTGCATCAAACCACAAGAGCGTAACCAAATCAAGAATCAGAGTTCTCAAAAAATAATCTAACATCATCCATACTGCCTTTCATATCCATTGTAACAGTGTCCCCCTACTGACTTCAATAGACAACTTATGGTGGGGGTTGAATCATCACGACCAAAGGGCAAAGCACGCCAACAAAACCAGGAGAGAAACCGTTTTCCCCCATTGTGGAATTGGGGCAGCTTCTGAGTATTGGAATCTATGTGATTGTTCTCTGCAGAGAAAAAAAAATCAAGGCCATGTTCTATGTAAGAACAGGTAGAATTAAGTAAACTTGTGCTTGTGGTGCAAACTCTATAACATGTACAAAGTCACAGGAAGCTCACTCCTGTAGACTTGAGAGTGCACCACAGAAAATTGCGTTATCTGGAAGAGTGCTGCTGTTGTCCTCTGGGTTAACCACATTTATGTACACTTCTTGACCCAAGTACCAGGTGTCAAGGTTCTGAACACGCAAGTTCCATATGCCTGCATTGTCCAGAAACACAAGAATAGCTGTCCAAGCTCCAGGGAATACCTGCAATCAAGTAGACAGTCCCAATCAAAGGCATGCTAATCTAAGGATTATACAGCAACACAAAGATGCATCGCAAAGTGGACAATACAGATCATATTTACAATGTTTAACTGTTTATAGATTACAGAAGAATGAAACAGAGATTCATCCCCAAAGCAAAAATTAAGTCTGTTTAGGTCAAGTTGGTCCCTTTCTGTTCTAGTTATGGGCGTGTTCCTACTCTAACACCTAAGGCAGTGTATGTGTGTGTACTTGGGGTTCTACCCTTCTCTTCTTTAATATAAAGACACACAGCTCTTCTGCGTGTTCGAGAAAAAAATCAGGATAGAAAAATTACATGTACCTGCCTAAATTATTGTGATTGTTTACCATCAGGGTTTGCACCTTGTTAGGGAAATTGCTAGAGAAAAGGAACCCATTAACTATCTAAATTCATATCATAGCCATATCCTTACTGAAATAGCATCAAACTAAAGACACCAAATAATTTATTTTAACCACTACAGGATATATATACCTTCGTCAGTCATACATATGCAAATAACTTAGTTAATAGTATTGCCTGTGTAGCTGCTACCTGACATTCCAACTAATGTTGGAATACAAACTAAAAGATGGGCTGTTTTAAGTTACGGCGTATGCGCTTAATATTTGAGCATGTTTACTGATCATACTGCAACTAGTGCAATGGTTAACTTGGATGTCTAGAAAGACGATGAAACAGTGAATTGCAGTACCTGGATTGTAGAGCGTGCAACACCATCCCATTTGTTATAGGTGCCTCGACTATTTTCTGTCCATAA